CTCGTCAATAGGGAAGCTCTGCAGCTTAATGGGTTTTTAACCAAAAAATCTGACAATGTCTATAGTTAACCCATTAAGCCGCAACGCACTCCAGCATGCCCTACATTTTTTTCTACTTGTCTAATGCCAGACGATTTTGCTTGTCAATAGAGAAGCTCTGCAGCTTAAAGGGTTAATAAGTTCTGACATCACTAATCAGCTAAATGGCATAAAATATACAAAATTGACTTACATTCACAACTTCGAAAAATAGCTCCCCTGGAATTTGTTTGCTTGCTGCCTTTTCAAAGGCAAATGCTGCAAGAATACAGCGGTTTTCCAACTCTACAAAAATCAAAAGGAGATAAATATTTACACATGCATACATACACACTGCAAAAATGTATTCTCCAAACCTAAATAAAAAGCTTCATGCTGTTCTGCTTAACATTTTACTGTGAACATTTACAATTCATATATACATGAACACTAATTAGCTTGATGGACTCTTGGGGCTTGGACTCTCAGGGCTTGAGTGTCTCTCGGTTGTTAAAGAGCTGTTCAGAATCACAGGGCAGAAGGTTCCATTCCCGGCACAGTATGTATATGTTACATATTTATTGTTCAAAATTTCCATTTAATTAAAGAAAGGCTTTAACCCATTGAATGGCAGCCTCTCTCCTTCATGAGTAAAATTGTCACATAAGGGGTTAACATTCTGTTCAATGTAGAATATTTACAAGATGTAAAATATGCATGTAGTGTGACTGTTCAATCAAGCATGTCATGCAAGTCCATCAGTTAAATTTTACATGCAATCTTCTAATAAAATGACATTTCCCAATCAATTTCAACATTAAAAGATATATCAGTCTGTGATTGTTTTTGTCAGTTACATTTCGAAACTGTTTGCAAAAGTATGATGTTGATTTACTTTATTTGAAAATGTGCTGCTATTACACAACTCAGTCTGGGTGATTTGTTTTGGCGAGCGTAGCCCATGAGCCCATCTAGAGAGGCTCATAAGACATGTAAATAGACATTCGTCCAGGGAAAGCAAGCTATAGCGAAGTTACCTGGGCTGGCTCACCTCTATATAAGCAGTCCCTTTCACATGTTTTAGGCTGACCGATAGGAGGGTTACCATAGGCATAGCAAGCACATGCCATGCATTGGGTAATATTGGGAGATGTCGAGATGGGCTATTGCAATGTTGTCTATATGCCATTAATGTGACTGCATTTCAAACAAGTCACATACCATATAAAAATACTGTATACATGTCAACGTTATAGCAAATGATATTTTCTGTGCTGATGCAATGTACTCAGGTGAATATGATGCTTGTGATGTTACACTGAGTGTATATCCACCCCAAGCAAGCTTGAAAAATATGCCTGTCCATGGTGGGAATCAAACCTATGACCTTTGGAATACTAGCCCAATGCTCTGCCAACTGAGCTATGCAGTCAGGTTGGTTCGAGCAAAGTCCTTAACTGTGGTTCGAGTATGTGATATTTCAGAACAGAATCTAGTTCTAAATCTGTCCACAGGTTTGATTCCCACCGTGGACAGGCGTATTTTTCAAGCTTGCCCGGTGTGGATATACACTCATCATGATATTTTCTGTGTTGATGCAATGCACTCAGGTGAATATGATGCTTGTGATGTTACACTGAGTGTATATCCACCCCGAGCAAGCTTGAAAAATATGCCTGTCCATGGTGGGAATCAAACCTATGACCTTTGGAATACTAGCCCAATGCTCTGCCAACTGAGCTATGCGGTCAGGTCGGTTCGAGCAAAGTCCTTAACTGTGGTTCGAGTATGTGATATTTCAGAACAGAATCTAGTTCTAAATCTGTCCACAGGTTTGATTCCCACCGTGGACAGGCGTATTTTTCAAGCTTGCCCGGTGTGGATATACACTCATCATGATATTTTCTGTGTTGATGCAATGTACTCAGGTGAATATATGCTTGTGATGTTACTCTGAGTCTCAGAGTAACATCACAAGCATATATTCACCTGAGTACATTGCATCAACACAGAAAATATCATGACTACTAAATTACATTGGTATCAAAGGAACTAGATTCTGTTCCGAAATATCACATACTCGAACCGACCTGACCACGTAGCTCAGTTGGCAGAGCATTGGGCTAGTATTCCAAAGCTCGTAGGTTCGATTCCCACCATGGACAGGCATATTTTTCAAGCTTGCCCGGTGTGGATACACACTAGCCCTAAGTAACATCACAAGCATCTTCTTTATAGCAAATATTTAACAGAAAATTACAGCATACAAATGCATATCACACAAATAAGCTATACGATTTTCTTAACAACACATATACGTGGAGACTGTAGATTAGACTTATAGACTTCTACTAATAGAAATTAATCGAAAATTTACAACTGAACGTCCAGATGCCTTCAGTGAATCGGCGGCGAAGCGACTAATATAAAATACAGGCCTTCGATTTAAAAAAATATATAACTACAGTAATAGCATAGTTGCCCGGGTTTCTTTTGTTTCAACAGGGACGTTTAATCACGTATCGCCCGCTGTAGCGGGCGATTAGTTCTAATCGCCCGCTAGAGCGGGCGATTTGAACTAATCGCCCGTTACCAAGGGTCACACCTTTGTCTCCCTGACGACTACGCATTAGGCAAGTGCCTCACGCACATAATCGTGCAAGGAACAGCAACAGTTAGCTCATAGCCGTCAATAGTCTATCATCCGATCCCTGAGTTGCCGCATCATTTAAATTACGCACGTGCAGTCTCCAAATTTATACTAATATATTTAGCGTGTTTGTTGTGGTACGTTAAATGATAGATTGCGCATGCGTAACCGATTAAAGCGTAAAAGTGCGCATGTGCAACAAGCTTTTACATCCCACAAGCAATGAAGCAAATGTTTTAGCTTAAATACGCTGATTCCAAGTAGGGCATGTTTGTCCATTTTTAAATGGGAGCGAAACTATGCTATTACAAACTAATAGCATGGTTTTTCGGGAGATTAGTGATTAAATGACCCCTTACCCTCGGCAGGTTTGCGGAATTCCCTCGGGCTTCGCCCTCGGGAATTCCGCAAACCTGCCTCGGGTTACGGGGCCATTTAATCACTAATCTCCCTCAAGCCATGCTATTACTTATAATAATCGAGACGGGCAAGGAATCATTTGCATACGGCTCAGTGCTATGATAGCCATGTGAAAATGTGCTTTAAAATTCCCCTGAGTCAAACCTATCTCCGTTAATATGCGTTTTGAACCTTTTTAAGTCCATCTATGACGGAAAAATTTTTTCGATCAGCCAAAAATTTTCTAAGTGTCAACCCTAGCTTTACTTGACTGCGAAATCCGGGCAAGCGTAGTGTAATTTATATTGAGTAGAACGGGCAAGGAATCATTTGCATACGGCTCAGTGCTATGATAGTCATGTGAAAATGTGCTTTAAAATTCCCCTGAGCCAAACCTATCTCCGTTAATATGCGTTTTGAACCTTTCTGAGTCGGTCTATGACGAAAAAATTTTTTCGATCAGCCAAAAATTTTCTAAGTGACAAGCCTAGCTTTATTTGACTCCGAAATCCGGGCAAGCGTAGTGTAATTTATAGTAATCGAGACGGGCAAGGATCATTTGCATACGGCTCAGTGCTATGATAGCCATGTGAAAATGTGCTTTAAAATTCCCCTGAGCCAAACCTATCTCCGTTAATATGCGTTTTGAACCTTTATAAATCGGTCTATGGCGAAAAATTTTTTTCGATCTGCCAAAAATTTTCTAAGTGACAAGTCTAGCTTTACTTGACTCTGAAATCCGGCCAAGCGTAGTGTAATTTATAGTAATCGGGACGGGCAAGGAATCATTTGCATACGGCTCAGTGCTATGATAGCCATGTGAAAATGTGCTTTAAAATTGCCCTGAGCCAAACCTATCTGCGTTAATATGCGTTTTGAACCTTTCTAAGTTGGTCTATGACGAAAAATTTTTTTCGGTCAGCCAAAAATTTATTTGACTCCGAAATCCGGGCAACGGGCAAGCGTAGTGTAATTTATATTAAGGGACGGGCAAGCGTAGTGTAATTTATAGCAATCGAGACGGGCAAGGAATCATTTGCATACGGGTCAGTGCTATGATAGCCATGTGAAAATGCGCTTTAAAATTCCCCTGAGCCAAACCTATCTCCGTTAATATGCGTTTTGAACCTTTCTAAGTCGGTCTATGACGAAAAATTTTTTTCGATCAGCCAAAAATTTTCTAAGTGACAAGCCTAGTTTTATTTGACTCTGAAATCCGGGCAAGCGTAGTGTAATTTATAGTGAATCGGGACGGGCAAGGACATTTGCATACGGCTCAGTGCTATTATAGCCATGTGAAAATGTGCTTTAAAATTCTCCTGAGCCAATCCTATCTCCGTTAATATGCGTTTTGAACCTTTCTAAGTTGGTCTATGGCGAAAATTTTTTTTCGGTCAGCCCAAAATTTATTTGACTCCGAAATCCGGGCAACGGGCAAGCCTAGTGTAATTTATATTAATGGACGGGCAAGCGTAGTGTAATTTATAGTAATCGAGACGGGCAAGGAATCATTTGCATACGGCTCAGTGCTATGATAGCCATGTGAAAATGTGCTTTAAAATTCCCCTGAGCCAAACCTATCTCCGTTAATATGCGTTTTGAACCTTTCTAAGTCGGTCTATGGCGAAAAATTTTTTTCGATCTGCCAAAAATTTTCTAAGTGACAAGTCTAGCTTTACTTGACTCTGAAATCCGGACAAGCGTAGTGTAATTAGAGAGGTTAAGATACCCCGATTCCGGTTTACGGGTACGGGTGATATACACGTATCCGTATCCGTAAATCGGGGAATAACTTGTAACTTAAGAAATCCAAGATATTTCGGCATGAGAAAACCGATCAGAGAATGACAACTTTCGCTGTTGAGGTTCGCCATAAATTGTTGAAAACTTTGACCAGCATATGTGCATTATTTATTTGGGTAAGATATTGAACATTTGTACTATTTAAACGGCCCAAAAATAGTAAACAGAACACACCCGTACCCGTTTGTCTTTTACGTGTAGACCATGGTTTACCACGGGGAAACGGGTAGAAATTACGGGTAAAATTGCTGACATCAGCAAAAATTGGTAAACAAAATGGCGATACTCGTACCCGTAAACCGGAACCGGGGTATCTTAACCTCTCTATTTATAGTAATCGGGACGGGCAAGATATCATTTGCATACGGTTCAGTGCTATGATAGCTATGTGAAAATGCGCTTTAAAATTCCCCTGAGCCAATCCTATCTCCGTTAATATGCGTTTCGAACCTTTCTAAGTTGGTCTACGACGAAAAATTTTTTTCGGTCAGCCCAAAATTTATTTGACTCCGAAATCCGGGCAACGGGCAAGCGTAGTGTAATTTATATTAATGGACGGGCAAGCGTAGTGTAATTTATAGTAATCGAGACGGGCAAGGAATCATTTGCATACGGCTCAGTGCTATGATAGCCGTGTGAAAATATGCTTTAAAATTCCCCTGAGCCAAACCTATCTCCGTTAATATGCGTTTTGAAGCTTTCTAAGTCGGTCTATGGCGAAAAATTTTTTTCGATCTGCCAAAAATTTTCTAAGTGACAAGTCTAGCTTTACTTGACTCTGAAATCCGGGCAAGCGTAGTGTAATTTATAGTAATCGGGACGGGCAAGGAATCATTTGCATACTCGGTTCAGTGCTATGATAGCTATGTGAAAATGCGCTTTAAAATTCCCCTGAGCCAATCCTATCTCCGTTAATATGCGTTTCGAACCTTTCTAAGTTGGTCTATGACGAAAAATTTTTTTCGGTCAGCCCAAAATTTATTTGACTCCGAAATCCGGGCAACGGGCAAGCGTAGTGTAATTTATATTAATGGACGGGCAAGCGTAGTGTAATTTATAGTAATCGGGACGGGCAAGGAATCATTTGCATACGGCTCAGTGCTATGATAGCCATGTGAAAATGTGCTTTAAAATTCCCCTGAGCCAAACCTATTTCCGTTAATATGCGTTTTGAACCTTTCTAAGTCGGTCTATGACGAAAATTTTTTTTCGATAAGCCAAAAATTTTCTAA